TCTTGTTCTGAAGCCACTTTGAGCTGAGTTGGGAAAACAGGAGGGGCCTCGAATGCCGTGCTAAGGAATCTAGACTTCAGGATTCCAAGCCAGTGGGGCGCCGGTAAACACTGAAAACCGGCTCTCTGGGAAGGACACTAATCTGTAGCATTTGCCAAGTTCCAAGGCCACTCTCAAGCCCCCACACGCCAAGACTGATGGTGCCACTGGGGGCAGACCGCTCAGTTGACTCGGGCAGCAGTCAGGAGCCAGTTCCAGCCATCTTGGGTCATGCCTGGGGGCCCAGATCTCAGCAACATTCACTGAGATTCCCCTTGGTTTGTCTCGGTGTAGATTAGATTGAGACAGACATTCATCTACCTACCAGGATTCAGTAATGAACCAGACACAGGGCAGTCCCAGAGGAGGACATGGCTGCTGCCTGCAGGGGACAGCAGATTGTATCAGTGGCCAAAAGGCATCCTTCATCACTCTCAAGGGCCTGCCATAGCCAGGCACCCCTGCTTTAAGGGTGGGGAGACTGCATTCACCTCTTTCTAGAGGAGGCGGCTCAGTACTCACGGTCCCGCGCTGAGACGTGGCGTGGCCCCCATCGTGGCCCCCCTACAGGACCACGTTGAGGAGTGAGCATGGTGACAGGCGCACGTCCTGCAGGCACCAGCAGATGCCTGGCCTGAGGCTTTTCTGTCCAGCCTGTCCACACCAGCGGGCCGCCTGCCACGCTCTGCCCACGGTGCCGACACATCTCCACCCCCACGCATCCCCCAACGCACACACAGTCCTTCCTTTCTGGCACACATTTGCTCCCTTTATTTTTATTTTTTTGAGCTCCAAACTTTCTCTGTATCAGACAGAGCTCAATGAAATGAGCTGTTCAATGTAGCTGCTGAGCATATGGTGGGCCACATCTAAGGCATGACTGTGGTGGCGTCTTTGAAGTGGGTGACACAGTGCAGCCCAGCTGGTGGCTGAGCCTCCATGTTGATGCTCGGCTGTCTGGCCCTGTGGGACGCTGCCCACTTGAAAACTAATACAAGACAGACAAGGAAGTCTTACTTGAGGTTGTGCCAGCCAGTCATCCAGGCGCCGTCTCTGCTGAGGTTGTTACATTGAGAACGCAGCTTTTCCTTGTGTGAGGGGGTGACTAATGTGGTTCTGAAATCAGACCCCCTAGACGGGCCCCAAGGCGGATGCTTGGGGCGGGGAACTCCTGAGGACACAGCGTGCTTCCGCATTTTGATGACAGTGTGGGACGGTGAAGAAGAATATCTGATCTATGAAAGCAGGGACCTCATCAGCTTCGTTGGTCATGGAATCCCCAATATCTAGGAAGGAGGGATGCATGCGTGGGTAGGTAGGTGGACATATGGATGAGTGGGTGAATGAACAGGTGAGTGCATGCGTGTGTGAATGGGTAGGTGAATGGATGGGTGGCTGATGGATGGACGGACAGGTGGATGGATGAAAAGGGTGGATGGATGAACGGATGGATGGATGGATAGATGAGTGGAAGGACAGATGGATGGACGGATGGATGGATGGATGAGTGGAAGGACAGATGGATGGACGGATGGATGGATGGATAGATGAGTGGGTGGATGGATGGATGGATGGATGGATGGACAGATGAGTGGATGGACAGATGGATGGACGGACGGATGGATGGACGGACGGACGGATGGATAGATGAGTGGGCGGATGGATGGATGGATGGATGGATGGATGGACAGATGAGTGGATGGACAGAGGGATGGATGGATGAGTGGATGGATGGATGAAAAATGGATGGACAAGTGGATGGATGGGTGAGTGGATACAGGATCACAAGATATTCTCCTTTTCCTTAATAACTTACAGGAAAGGCATTAAAGTGTCACTGGACTTTCCTACAGCTCCAGCCTGTCCGGTCTCAGTATAAAAACCAAAACTCCTGAGGTGCAGCTGGCTGTTCTCAGGACTTTGACTGGTTTGGATCCCTGCTGAACCCTGAGCTGTGTACCCTCGGGCAAGTCCCTTCCCTCCCCTGAGCTCATTAGCTCTCATCTGGGAAAAGAAGTGAAACTACATTCACTATCGGGTCTGGTCCAGGATGCCCCGTGGCGCTGCAGGCCCCCCGACGTTAAGTATGACGATCAGATTTCTAAAACTTTGAGTATTCTCAGCCACCAAACGGTATATTGTTAGTAGCTGTGACTGAGCCTCTTTCAAAGTTTCCACGCTGGGAATATTAAAAAATGAGTGACATTTCAGGGCGACAGTGAGGATGCAGGGTTAAAGGCTTGCCCACGTCTTCCTGGAATGATCCTGGGGACTTACTTCTCTCACTTACAGCAGCTTCCACCTGCTTAAGATATGCTTAGTAGTTCTTATCCTATTTCCTCTTTAAAATAATTCTAAACCACACAAAGTGAGACAACAATACAGAGTCAGATTCCCTGCCTGTTGGTAGGGACTGTGGGCCCGATTTCCAACCATGCACCAGCTCTAAAGAGCATCCAAGCCGCTCCTGGAGGCCCCAGTGAACCCTCGCGTTTTGCTGTTTAATTTTCAATCTGCATCTTTAAAAAGGTAACATTTGATCCAGATGAGTTGGTCTGGTCTGAAATGCTTATCTATGAAGAACACATTTTAGTTCCTTCTGGAGAGGGAGGAAACCCCTTTTCACGTCGTAGTTATTTAAAGAGTGTTAGGGAGGCGTAGTGTGTCTGTCTCCGAGGCCCAGCTGTGTTGATGCGTCTTTGGCGGTTCTGATTCTGGTACCAAATGAGGGAGAAGCTCAAGGTCAGGGACGCCGCCTTGCTGGCCGCGAGCCCTCACCACTGCTCCAGGGGTTAGGAGGCAATTCCGAGCCCAGGAACGGGGGGCGGGGTGGGGGGGGGTTGCCGAGCAGGCCTCTGTATCTGTGCCAGCCCACGCGGGGCCTTGGAAGGCAAGAGCATCTAGAAAACGTTGCTGCCTTCCTTTTGGCAAAATTACCGGCAGCTTCCCGAACTGCTCAGTTTCCAGAGCCTTCAAGTGAATAAGCCTACAAGAGCCAGACACACGCTGACAGCACCCGAGGACAGAGCGACCTGGGGCCACAGCAAGCAGCGTGGGCGCCTCCAGAAACCGGGAACAGCCAGGAGACAGATTCTCCCCCAGACCCCCCCCCGGGGGACACGACCCTGCTGAGGATACACCTACGCTGTTTAGGCCACTGAGTGTGTGCTGATTTGCCACAGCGGCCGTAAGAAACCAGTGTTCGTCTGGCCTGTTCGCAAACCCCACAGAAACGCAAACGAAGAAATGGAATGACGCGGCGTGCAGCCTTTGCAGTCCGGCTTCTCGTGCTCAACAGAACGTGTGTGACCGTCATCTACGTCCTGCTGGCTCCTTCCCACTGTCACCATGTGTCACCCTGCAGGGCCGAGCTGCGGCCCTCTTCACCCATCTTCCCGGGCGTGTGGGCTCAGGAAGCTGCCTTGTGGAGCAGGTCAGCATGAAGCTTCTAGGAAGAACATTCCTGAACATTTTTTTAAATTATTTTTATTGTGACATGTGTCTTGGGAATATACCCGGGGGCAGAGTTTCCGGAGAAACGTCAGAAAGAAGTTTCTGTCTAGCTTTGTGAAGAGACAGAAAGTTGTGCAAAGGGATGAAGTGCAGCCCACCGCTGTCCACGAGCCACGAAGACGAGATCAGTGGCTCCCCACCTTCCCCATGGCCTCCCCGTGCTTCGGTTAAAATTCTACCGCCAGCCCCCTGAAAACGGTGTATCTGAACAGTGGCCAACTGCTGGGGTCCGGGTGCTGGGATTCGGGGCCCTCGCGGGTCCGCCGGCCACCAGGTGAAAGGGCCCCGCCACACAGGCCACCAATGGTGAGCACAGGAAGCTGTGCACGTGGGGAGGGGACGGGCGTTCCCATCGCAGGGTCGCAACAGGGGGTGGCCTCTCGAGGGAGCTGCCGTTAGGGTGGAGTACTGAATAGTGGAACGGGGCCAGCTGTGTGAGACAAGGGGGGAAGAACCTTCTAGAAGGAGGGAGAAGTAACTGGTGATGGCAACTACTTTTTGTTGTAGGCGTGTTCACGAGGGTCTCGGGGAGCCGGGGAGGGGCGCCCCTCTGGGAGTGAGCACCGTGGACGGTGTGTCCAGGCAGAGGGCAGGGGCCCCAGGATGAAGCCGGATATTACTGGGGAACCGGGGCCGGGGGAGCGGGGACATCTGACCCTGGAGGCTGAGGACAGAACCGCCCTGCTGAACCCCAGTGATGGTAACGCAGGTGGGGCCTCTGGGAGATGATTAGTAGCAGACGAGGTTATGGGGCCCATGACCCCATGATGGGATTCGCGCCCTTAAGAACAGAGGAAGACCCTACCTTCCCCCATGTGAGAACGCAGCCGGGGCAGGGAGGGGGCAGGGCGGGGCAGGGACAGGTGCTCACCAGGAACCAAAGCTGACAGCTCCCTCACCTGGCACTTCCAGCCCCTGTAAACGTCTGATGCTCGACCGCATCTTCGTACAGCAGCTGGAGTGAACACTGCCTTCAACACGCCTTCCCACCCCTTTGCTGGAATATTCCGTCGCTGTCTCCTCCAGGCTGGCTCCTGGATGCTGTCCAGCCTCAGCTCAAATTTTTCTCCCGGTCAGAGAAGCTGGCGGTGGCCCCTCAACATACAGTGACACCCCCTCCTGTCAACGTCCCCGGCCCCCCCCAATACATCGTCTTCTGACAGCAAAGGGTGTGTTCCCCCAGATCAGCCCCGGCACGAATCCACAAGCCAAGCGTCTCCTGTGCTCTCCACACTGCCAAACACCAAACCACCTAAGATCCTCCCCGAGAACTTGGAGCCCTGGAGGCAAAGTGCACTGTGTTTTTTTTCTCCAGATGAGGATTTGGGAGATTTGCTGCAAGCCCGGGGGGGGGGGGGGGCGGTTTAAGTGATGAGGGACAAGTGCTCGCAGTGCAACCTCATGTTCATCACAGAGAAGATCTGTTGGAGAGACCCTTGGATTAAATCCACGTTTCAGCCTCGGCTTTATTTCCCCCTCGGTGCGGATGTGAGGATACTGACCAGTTAAACAATGTGAACGCGGGGGATTGGGGCCGTGGCTGAACCGTGTGTGGTCCTGCCACACGGACTCCGTGAGCGGCTATTGTTTCCTGTTCTTTACCAGCGTGGGGGAGTCCCGGCCCCGAGGTCGGACGTGGGCACCAGGGTCCGTCTCATAGACCGGGGGCTGCCCCCACACCTGGAGCATCGGTACCACGGGGACGAGCAGTTTCTAGAGTGTCTCCCAGCACAGGCACAGTGTGGATGCGGCATGGTGTCTCACGGGGAATTGCCAGCCCCCGGCGGGCGGGGAGGAGGCCGGCTGTGGCTTCCGAGGGGTGGGAGGGCTGGGGCGAGACGACAGGGTGATGGACAGCTTTCAGTGTAATCTCGAGGGCCCCCCCCGCCAAAGTCAGCAAGGTGATGTAACTGACATCATCCAAAAGGATGCACGGTCTTCTTAACAATGTTCGTCCTACAAAGAACAAAACAGCCATCTCACCTCCAAATCCTGGGAGCCCCTGGGAAATTGGCATCGTCCCCAAGAAATGACTCTGATTCAGGGGAGGTGTGACTGAAAGAAAACGGTGCCGTGTCCCCTCGCCGGCCCTGCCGTGAGGTCCCCGTCCCACCAGCTGAGCCACGCCGGGAACGCCACGCCCCCTCGGCCGTCACGATCCCAGTTAAGTCCCGCAGCCCCGGGTCTGAGCCAGGTGTGTGGGCCGCTTTCAACGCCACGGGCAGTTTCAGGGAAGGCAAGAAGCATGAAATCTACCTGACGCTCTGACGCGAAAGCACTCCACCGCGGGGAGCAGAGTGAAAGGTGTAAAATTAGACAAATTAACCCAACTTCCCAGAGAAGCGCGGTGTTCAGGACTGGAGCAGCTGTTGCCGCTGTTTCTGGAAATTCAAACAAAGACAAGGAAGCCGAGGGATGTGCCGAGGGGCCTCCTTTCCCTGGCGGGAGGGGCACTGTGCGCGAACAGGTGGCAGCTGGCGGGGGGGGGGGGCGGGAACGGCTGCCCACCCGTCTGCCCATCCCCCCCCCAATGCCGTGCCTTCCCGGTGCCAGCCCCCGGGACGCCCGGCCACCCCGTCTGATCAGTAGCACGTGAAAAGACACGGTCTTCTCGTTATCACTTAACTGAGGTTGTCAGTCTCCTAATTGCTTCAATAAAATATAATTAATTAAAAATAACATGTGGAGATACTTACATGAGCTGGAGATTGCACACGGCAATTTCTAGATTTTTCCTGATACTCTGTGTCCTGCTGCTGCGTTCAGACAAAGGGGGAAGCTCTCCAAGATCAGAGACGATGCTTTCCCGTTTGCCCTTTGGGTTTAGGAATAAAGGCAACTGAAACGGCATCCCATGAGGCATGGGGAGCGTGAGCTCGAGTTGCTGGTAGGAAGATGCAGACACGGGAAGGTGTCAAGTCGGCCCAAGTGGCTGCACGGCCACCAGCAGAATAGCTCAGAAGATGACACACCCTGAGGTGCAGGCGGAACCGAGTGATGTGCACGGGGACCCCTTCTCTTTCTCTGAGTCCAACTTACACGTTTCCCGTGAGAAGCAGTGTTTGGAGCCACTGCCCCCATGTGGAAGTAGGGGGACAAAGTGGTCACTTTCCAGAGTGTCCTGACTTCTAGGGAGGTAGCCACATACCTCAGAGTATGACAGCAGCCGATGAGTGAGGCCACACCTGGGGGCACCCCACCCCCCAACACACACACTCGTCATGTCTCTGGTCTGTGTACCCGTGGCTTCTACCTTCAAGGTCACCTCGTGGACCCAAGGTAGCTGCTGGACCTCCAGCCATCACTTCTGTGTTCCACATAGGAAAAAGGAGGAAGGAAGAAAGCCGAGAGGGAGGCAGAAGGGAAAGTTTGCAAAAAGAAAAAAAAAATTCCAGAAGTCCCCCAAATGATTCCATGTATTTGCACTGGGTCAGAACTTAGTCATGTGGTAACACCTAGCAGCAAGGGAGCCCGGGAAACAAGCCTTTTGTTGAGGAGATTACTTATCCCGAGTAAACGTGTGGATCTGTGAAGAAAGAAGAAAGGGGGAACAGGACTTTCTCCAACAGATTCCACTGTGGTGACCGGTGGGGACGTCGCTAACCCTTCTGTTTTCTCATCTGTAAATTGGTCTAACACTTCCGGTCAGACACGCATGTGCTTTAAGAGTAAAGCTCCATGCAAATATTCGTTAGGATGAAAATGCATTCTGTGCGAAAGAGCTAAACAACTGGGCAGATGTTAGGGCAGGTTTCCAGCCGTGCAGGCGAGCAGGGCCCCCAGCTGAGACCCTCGCTCCACCCCTCACGCGTGGAAGGCCGACGAGGAGCCATGTGAGAACCACGGGCTCAGGGGACACTGGGTACACTCGCTGCTCCCGCACCCTGGGCGACGCCGGGTGAGCCTGGCCCCCAGCCCCTGCCTGGAAGGTCCACGCACCCTGGAGGGCAGGGTCAGTCTCTCCAAGACAACAGCACGCACGTAAGACCAGCTAAAACATCAGCTTACAAGCTGGCGATGCTTAGGGACGATGTCAGATGTGAGCCAGGGGCACGCTGGCCTGTGCCAGTGCCCACAGTGATGCCCCCCAGAAAATGATGACCAGTCTGATGCCCTGTGCTGCTTCTACAAGGAAGACAGGCTGTTTTGGGGACAGATGCAAAGAACCCATGTTGGTGGATAGAAGCTGGTGGGGGGAGATCTGGAGGGGTTGGGATTCAAAAGTTCTCTCTACTTTTGAATATGTTTGGCATTTTCGATTAATAATCTCTTTATTTTTTAAAAAAGTTTATTTATTTATTTTGAGAGAGAGAATGAATGAATGAATGAGTGGGAGAGGAGTAGAGAGAATCCCAAGCAGGCTCTGCACGGTTAGCGCAGAGCCTGATGCAGGGCTCAAACTCAGGAACCATAAGATCAGGACCTGAGCCGAGATCGAGAGGCGGACACTTCACCGACTGAGCCACCCAGGAGCCCCAAACTTCCATTTTTTAAAAAAGATCACTAATGAGGGTGCCTGGGTGGCTCAGTCGGTGAAGTGTCCTCCTCTCGATCCCAGTTCAGGTCATGATCTCCCGGTTCCTGAGTTTGAGCCCGGCGTTGGGTCCAGACTGACATCACCAGAGCCTCCTTGGGGTTCTCTCTCTCTGCTCCTCCTCTGTTCACGCGGTCTCTCTTCCTCAAAATAAATAAACATAAAAAAACCACAACAAACTCTGTTTTGCTTTTAAATAATTGAAGATACTGTTTGAAGAGTCTGGTGTTTGAAGAGGTTAGTGTGCATAAAGATTTGGGGTTCAGTTTACAGCAAACTCAGCCCAGCCAAGCCCAGTGCGATGCCCGCACAAGAGGCCGCACAAGCTAGAAACGCCAGCTCCCGGGAGGCAGCCTCACCAGGCCGGGCCCTGCTCGGTCACAGTGTGAGGGCTGCTCTGTTGTGGGGTCTGTTCCTGTGGCGCGTGTTCCAATCTGGGCGCTTTGCTTACAACTGTGGGCTTGACTGAAGGGACACCCAATGGCTGATGCAAGCCGATTACTTTTCCCAGACACGAGAAAGTCACGGAGTGGAGGGGAAGGTTTTCCCCGTTGCACAAGGCTAGCCCGACTGAGATACAAACACGGCCCCTCTTCCCTGTTCAGAAAAAAGGCCGGTGGGGGGGGGGGAGGGGAAGGGGTTGGGGCTCAAAGTCCAACAGTGGACCCCGTTTTCCTGCAGCTCCTGGTTCGGGGTGGGGGACAGCCGAGCTGAGGCGGTCTGGTTAGGACCCAGAGTGAGTGACAAACCATCTCGAACGCCCTCGCCGTGTGACTCAGAGGACCTGACTTCACCACCCAAACCCATCGCGCTCGGGAACCACGGCCGCGGATCCAGGGCTCACTCGCAAACACAAGTGTGTGCAACAAGTTCATGACAAGAGAACCAAACAAGGAAATGGACGGCTTCCAAGCCTGTCCAAGAGTGGGACGTCACGCGGCAGGAATGGTCATCAGGAACATGTCCAAACCCAGTGTTTTTCTGGAACCTGTGTCTGAGTTCATCGGGACAGAATGTACGATGCCCAAGAAATACGTCAAAATAAATCCCCACTCAGCTGGGTTCCACTGGCCCAGGGCACGGTGCCCAGCCCGCGTGGGGCATGTCTTTCCTGTGTGCGTCACCGGGGTCACCGCTTGGGGGCATGGTGACACTCCTTGGTGCCAACCCTCCTTTGGGAGGCTCAGAGTGCATGAGTCCCAAGAGGAAGCAGGGCAGAGGAGGAAGGACATGCGCATGTTTCTAATTTCTTGCTTACTCCCCATGGAGAAACTACGGGGCGGACAGTAACAAATGGCGAGTGCCACTCTCCCCCAACCCAGCGGGTAAGATCCATTCCACTAAATCTAGTCGCATTGGCTCATGTAGAACACCACTGCCTGCTTCTCTCAAGAGGGAGGTGGTTCCCCCAATGGTGCCCATCAGCGAAGCCATGGAATGACCCCACGGAGCCCACGGGACCCAGATACTTGCTCAAATACCAACCTACCGGTGCCTAAAGGCCCTCGAGTGATAAAGTTGGTATTTAAACGAGTAGACTTTCAGTAAAGGAGATCGCCTTTCACGATGCGGTGGGCCTCGCCTAATCACTTGAAGTCACAACAGAAAAAAGTCCGAGATGCCCCGAAGGAGAGGAGATTCTGCCAGCAGGCTTTCTTCCTACTCAACTGCGATATCCACTCCTCCCCGAGCCTCCAGCCGGCCGCCCGCCCTGCAGATTTCAGACATGCCAGCCGCACAAAGTGTGGGGCCTGTTCCTTCCGGTGCATCGGTCTCAGTGTGCACACAACCTATGGGTTCTGTTTCTCCGGACGGCCAGGGCCAACACAAGGTCCCTCCCGCTCCCTCTGTTCTTGTTCTTGCAAGCATGACTCCTAAGAACCTCATCTCTTGACTCCATAAGTTGTAGAGACCCAGAGTGCAAACCTATCCTAATGCAAAATCAGGCCTCCGTAAATATTTAACGCTCAGAATCTTTCAAGCGACATCATCAATGCCAAGGTAAATAATCAGGACTGATAACACTTCAATGTTCACTCAACGCTAAGGTGAGAATGTAAGTGAACGAACGCAGAAGGGGAGTCCCACAGAAATACGGTCAGCTCGTGCCCTGACGACCTTCCTTCCACTCTGCAGTAATCAGCATACACAGCTCGCCATGTGCTCCCCACGCTCGCTGCTCAGAGCCTGGGTCTCTAGCGCACAAGTGAGCCCTGCCCCCCGGCAAACGTCCATCCTGCGGACGGGGTGTGCTTAAGAGACAGTAATGCACAGCAAGCAGGTATTTAAGGCCAAGTCGCAGAAACGCTGGTGGTTCCTGGACTCGTGGGGAGAATCACATCTGTTCATCTGTTCACTCCACAGGCCCTTCCCCTCCCCACGTACAGGTGCTTTGCTAGGAGTGGGCACCCCAGACACCAGTAAGAAGTGGGGTCCCTACCCAAGTGGAAATTGTTTATTTTTCTAACAAAAACTCTGACATAACTTAAATGTATATATCTCATTTGCCAACACTTTATTTTGAATTTATTTTTAATGTTTATTTTTGAGAGAGAGTGAGAGCATAAGCAGGGGAGGGGCAGAGAGAGAGGGAGACACGGAATCCGAAGCAGGCTCCGGGCTCCGAGCTGTCGGCACAGAGCATGACGTGGAGCTCGAACCCACGAACCGCGAGATCATGACCTGAGCCGAAGTCAGATGCTCAACCGACCGAGCCGCCCGGGCGCCCCAACAACGTGACTGTGTCATTCTGAAGAAAACAACAGGATTTACCAAAGTACCGATGCACACACGGCAGGGGCCTCCCCCAGGAACGGGACACAGGTTTCAAGTTCCATCTTGGCAGCTTTTCAAGGTGACTCTGGGTCACCTGGGTCCACCCTCAAAAGCCA